TCAATACATAAAAGTTTGTACCATAAATGTTTTCCTAATATTTAAAGTATATATATATATATATATATATATATATATATATATATATATATATATCTGTTTTTCAGTTCCTTCGGTTCGATTTCAGTAACCCCACGTTAACATCTCCTGCCATCAAAAACATTTATCTTTCCGTAGTTAGATTTTTGATATATAAAATTATAATTTTATTTTAACAATACGTTTATCATTTTAGACTACGAACTTTTTTAATTTACTTGTATATATGTGTATATATACATACATACATACACTCATACATACATACATACATACATACATGCATATATATATATATATATATATATATATATATATATATATATATATGTATGTATGTGTGTGTGTGTGTGTGTGTATATATATATATATATGTACATAATTATACATACATATCAAATCTCGTGATGGACACAAATCAAAATCTGTTAAATAGATGTAATCAGATATTTTCTTTTCATTATCATCTTTCTTCTTGTCAATGCACTTAATCTAAAAGTTCTCTATTAATCGCATTGTTCAATTATTATGTAGTTATATTTTCAGAACTATATTCAGCTAATAATAACAAGTCATGTTACGGAATTATTGATCCAGCCTCGTCTATACAATATAACTAAAACATAAATTTCTATTTTTGAAAAGTAGAACTCTCCAAATTGTATTTATTTCTACTTATTTATTTTTCTTGCGCCTACCTTATCTATTTCGCATTCCTTCCTACAGGGGTACATACGCGAGTACACGCGAGTTTAATCTGCAAAATCAGAAATATGGAATATATCGAACTATCGATTTATAAATAATCTTTTATTTCATGGGTTATTTTTAAGAAATGTTATTTTATATATATATATATATATATATATATATACAGTGTAACCCGGATATAAGAGAGTTGTCGGGACCGGAGAAGTTTTCTTATATCCGGGTTTCTCTTATATCCGGGTTTGGTCTATTTTATATACATTAACACAGGCTATAATTTGGGACCAGAGAAAATCTCTCTTATATCCGGGTTTCTCTTATATCCGGGTCTCTTATATCCGGGTTACACTATATATATATATATATATATATATATATATATATATATATATATATAAAAGAAAGAACAGTAAGATATATAATCCGGTGTTCTTATAGATATTTTATTTTTACAAAATAGTGCTCGATGTAAATTTACAGAGCATTAATATATAAATTAATTGATTTAAAATATGTTTTTTCGCTACACAGTTCTAACCATGTTTCAAAAATGGAAGCTAAAAGCCCCCGAATTTAATGTCTTTGGTTCAATCACAAAATTAAATTCGGGGCTTTTAGCTTCTATTTTGAAACATGGTTAGAACTGTGTAGCGAAAAAAAAAAAGACATATTTTAAATCAATTAATTTATATATATATATATATATATATATATATATATATATATATATATATATATATATATATATATGAAATTTATATTCCTGTATTTTTGGTTTGAAGGATTTTGATCTGAAGGATTTTCGCCTGAAGGATTTATGTCTGACAGACTGGGTGATGTTCAACGGATCGTGTGAATATTAAGAACGTCAGTTCTTCTGTCTTTTTCTATTTCATTAGCTACTAATGGAATGGCTTTGTTGAATCCCAGGTCTGTTTGTAGACGGACACAATTTGCATTGAAATTAAAATTCTTAAGGAAAAATATTACAAAATGATTTCAATGCAAAAGTACTTGAACTACATCTGCTGCCAGAATACATACCCTTTTTCACATATGACCGCTTTAAGGGTCTTGTGTCCACCTTCAATCTAGGATACGGACCCTGCCAATCTATTACATCTCAATTTTCATAAGGTAGTATTCATATAAAGATAAAATACAAATATAAATGTTACCCAATTACTGACAATAATCGATCATATACAATATAGTTGAACAATTCAGGTAGAGAAATTGAAAATAAATACAATGTCTATTCTAAATAGAATTTAGAGACATGCCGTCAAAGATCTTCCATCTTAAATGAATCGGTTTTGCAGTAATTTTACTATCAACTGTAGAGTTTTCTTTTTAAAAATTTAAAGAATTTTTACACCTTCAACATTATGGATAAGACATAGCGAAATTTATATAGTGTTTTTCTTTCGCGAGACATATCCTGAGCAAAAAAAATTCACAGATCTATATATGCACACACACATATATATATATATATATATATATATGTATAATATAAATTATTATTATATACTATAATAATAAATATATGTAATAAACAATATCAATTTGTAATTGGTAGGATTATTTCAAGGATGACACTAATATATATATATATATATATATATATATATATATATATATATATATATATATATATATATATATATATTTATATATATATATGTATATATATATATATATATATATATATATTAAAATATATATATCTATATATATATACATATATATA